GTTCAGTATGCAATTAACCTATAACCCAGAAAGCCTGCTTCTAGATATTTAGCCAAAGGAAATTAAGTATGTAATTCCATAAATACCTGTGTAGAGATTACTCATAGCAGCTTTAATCATAGTTACCTTCAAGCTGAAGATAACCTAAATGTCTCTCAACAAAACAATGAATAAGCACATTATATATCCATTCAGCGAATGATCACTGGGCAGTTAAAAGAAATAAATTACTGTTACGTGTAGCATGTGCATGAATCTCATAAACATGCTCAGAGAATGAAGATAGACTTGGAGTTTATACTGTATTGATTCCATTTGATGGAGTTCTAGAAAATACATACTAATCAATAGTGACAGAAACATCACCAGCTGTTGCTGGCCCTGAAGGTTGGCAGATACTGCTCAGGAGCATGGAGGCACTCTTTGTGGTGATGAAAAGACTCCGAAGCTTGAGTGTGTGGAAGTAATACAGGTGTGCCTAAAATTCATCAGCTGAGGGCTGGGGAGATGGCTCAGTAGAATAAGCGCTTGCCTGGCAAGCGCAGGGTCCTGAGTTCAATCCCCAGGACCGCAAAAAAATAAAAAATAAAAATAAATAAATAAAATTCATCAACTGGTCCACTTAAACTAAAGGAGTCTGTATTAAATACATTGTGCTGCAATGAATTTGATCTATTTTTAAATGTTTGTTGCAGCATACAAATGCCTAATCAATCCCCCAAAAATGTGTTGAATGAAAAGAAAATCCTTGTCAAAGCAGAAAACAAAAAAGAAAGTGACAATTCAATCTCATTTAACATATAGGCCACAAATTCTAAAAGAACCAGTAGGAAATTAATTTCAACACTCTATTTAAATAAATGCACATGAGTAGGATAGGGTTTATTGTAGGAATAATTCAATAGTAAAGAAAGTCTATTAAATAATTTATTATATCAATATATCAAAATATTAAACCACACGATGCTAAAATCACATTCAATAAAATTTACCATCTATTCTTGATAATATTTTTAAACTCTTAATAAAATAGGAATAAAATATATCTTTATCACAATAGAAAATACAACAGCTTGATACACAGCCTCATTCATTCTGGTGATACTATAGAGATTCTCATAGCAAGCGCAAGACAAGGGTGTAAACTACTCAACCTCACCAGTATTTAACACTTCTGAAAGTTCTTCCAATACAAGAATACACAAAGAGAATTGACTGGTCTGTAAACAAGAGAAACTGTAAAATTTTTTGTTAAATTATACAATTTTCTACCTGGAAAAGAAGGCAAGAAAAACATCTCAAAACAGAGCTTTTAAAAACTCTGACTGATAATAAAATACATATGCTAGAAAAATTGGTTGGCGTATATATCAGCTCTGACTATTTAGAAAACTGTAACAAAGATATTCTTATTACAGTAACAGTAAAATTCATGGTTGAGGAGATAGCTCAGCCATCTAAGTGCCTGCCTGGCAAGTGCAAGGACCCAAGTTTGATCTTGGGTACCACATGCCATGTTGGCCCCAAAGCTGGGTGTGGTGGCACACACCTGTAACCTTAGCACTGGAGAGGCTAAGATAGGAGGATCACTACGAGTCTGAACTGAGTAGTGGAACCCTGTATCAAAGAGAAAGAAAGAAAGAAAGAAAGAAAGAAAGAAAGAAAGAAAGAAAGAAAGAAAGAAAGAAAGAAAGAAGTAAAATTTAAAGCATGAGGATTTTTTAATATCTACAATTTAGAGGAAGATAAGGTTTTCTGGGAAATGCATAACAACTTGGCTAAGTAAAGAAATGTACCACTATCTGAGGGGGAGTACATTATAAATGTGACTATACTGAAAATACAGCAATTCTTCTCTAACATTCTTGTTTCTGTTCAAAAGTAAAGAGTTGTTCAGGGAGGAAATCAGTTTAATTTGTATAAAGTCACATCAAAAGAATAATCAACTGAAAATAGCAGAGTTGTAAAGAAGAAAAATAGCAGGACTTACACTATCAGGTAGTGAACTATATCATGAAACTAAAAACATTAAAACATTATGGTAGGGAAATCACCCAACAACAAGTGTTGGAGAGGCTGTGGGGGAAAAGGAACCCTTCTCCACTGCTAGTGGGAACGTAGACTGGTGCAACCATTATGGAAATCAGTGTGCAGACTCCTTAGAAAAGTTGGACTGGAAATCCCATTTAAACCAGCTATTCCTCTACTGAGAATTTTCCCGGAGGATCTGAAAACATCATATCATAGTGATATATGTGTGCCTATGTTTATAGCGGCACAATTTGTGATAGCCAAATCTTGGAAACAACCAAGATGCCCATCACCTGAGGAATGGTTGAAAAAGATGTGGTATTTTTACAAAATGGAGTATTATTCAGGTATTAAGAATGATAGACTCAAAGCCTTTATATTGAAGTGGATGCCACTTGAGCATATACTCATAAGTGAAATAAACCACACACACATGTGTAAATATCATATAGTTTTCCTAGTATAAGAACTCAAAGAGGGGCCAGGGAGATGGCTCAGTAGAATACGCACTTGCCTGGCAAGGACAAGGACCTGAGTTCAATCCCCGGTTCTGCAAAAAAAAAAAAAACTCAAGGAAGAAATAAAAATAGAAAGGTATAATACAGGTAAAAGGAAAGCAGGATCTGAAGGACTAACTAATCAAGAGAGGGAAAGGAGAAGAGCTAGGAAACATGAATAAGTCAAGCCATACAGTTATATGTAGAAGATGGGCAAGGCAATGATCCTGAGAATCTTCAGAAGATTTTTTAATCTGGCAGTTAATTGGAAAGATTTCCACTCTGACTTTGTATAAAAGTAGTATGTATGGTATTTTCTCAATTTTATAAACAATGCTTGTAAACATACTCAAATATATGACTCTAGAATATTCAAATACTACTTTAAAAAATGTATTTTAAAAATGAACCTTAAGTGTCATGTACAGAATCTGGTCTTTAACTTTATTTTTTTTTCAAAATTTTATTGATAAACAGATAGCAATGAGACAGTTTCAAATCAAATCGGAAGTACAGTTTCAACAAATAACACACTGCATATATTCTTCTTAGTGGCTAATTGCTGTACAAGATGCAGACTTGAGATCCTATTTACAAACACCATTAGAACAAATCATTCTATTCATTAAGAGAATGCATCTATATATCTATCCTAACCACTTTGAGTACACAGATACAAAATGGACATTCATCGGTATACCCCATTTTTTCTAAGTTCCGTTATTGAATATTATAGGTGTGTAAACTCAGCAAAATATTCTAAAAGAGTCCAGTAGCCCTTTAACTTTATTTTAACAGTTATCACATCACATCACTGAACAATCTAACTTCTAATTTGCAAACCTGATAAAATTGTCTACACTAATCTTCATCAGAGGTCTCTGTATGGCAGAATCAACAAAGTGCCCCTAAAAAGAGTTAAAACTCCTGGAAAAGGCAGCTGCCTCTCTCCCTCGCAGTCATTTGAAGAGAACCTCATCAAAGTTATTATGGGTAATGAAAATCCTTATAGCAATAAAAATTGGCCTTTATATCCTTTCTTTGATTAAAAAATACTCAAGTTGTAAAGAACCCAACGTTTATGTGGATGTGAAGGATTTATAAACAAGACATTTTTGAATAAGTATGTGAATACAAACATGTATTTGCTAGATCTCTGTGGAGGGGTCTCTGCAGCAATCACACACTGTAGCAATAAGTGCACCTCACAGTCAGACCATGGCTTTGAAACACCATCCTCCCCAAACAGTACCAGTCTCTTTGAAGAAGCTGGTTTCAGGGCTGTGGTGGACTAAACACAAGATCACACAGATAGGGGCATGTCGAAGGCTACAGGCATTCCCGTAGCCAAAGCCTGAATGAGCCTAAATAACAAAGTTAGGACAATTTAGGAAACAATCACAAAGGATGATGTTGGATTGCCACCAACAGAATATAGTAAATAGCTGTATGCCCATATTGATATAAACAAATGACTGAATGCATAAATAAGTGGGGGGAGGTGTTAGCTCTTGCTTACAGAGGAATTCCAAATAGTACATGTGGAAGTAATAAAGAGACTACAAAATAATCATCAGAAAAATTCCACAGTAATAATTTTTACAGACAAGATCTACTGACAGAAACTAAAGTCAGTGGAGAACCTTGACAAACACCACTGTAATCAAGTGTTCAAGGTTAACCTCACCAGTGATAACACAGCAATACCACCTACCTCTGTGATGACTCACTGGGAAAGCTACACCATCTCCTCTGGGGAACTCATGCCAGAAAAGCATAACTTTGATCTAATCATAAGAAAGCCAGGCACTACCTCAAATTGAGAGGTATAAAAAGGCTGATTGGTATCCACATCAAGTGTCAAAGTCTGACGGAGAAGAACAGAACTCAACACAATGTGGAAAAAGATGAGGGCCTTGATGAAATTTAAGCCTGTAATTCAGTAAATATGGTAACAATGTGAATTTCCTGGCTTTGATCATTTTTCTGTTTAGTTGCTTTGCAAAGTTGTTAAAATTAAAGCAAACAGGGTAAAAGCTGTACATGAACTTGCCATTATTTTGTAACTTTTCTATAAGTCTAACATAATAGGGTTTTTAAACCTTTCAAATGCCCTATTGATAATCCTAGCTGATGGTTCCTTTTTCTTAATTTAAAACAGCAATGTAACCTGTAAAGAAAAAAATTTGGTATATAAAGCATTAGTTTCTCTTTAATTTAGGTATTTTTTTAATTCACAATTTAGTTTGTGAATGCATAACCCCACATCACTCTTCACCAAGGACAGTGCTAAAGCACAGGTGATCTTCCAAGGCTGCCAGGTTAGGCTGCTTTCTAGCCCCATCATCTGCTCTAAAAGATCTAAATCACTGTTGTGGACCGGGGGGGGGGGGGAGAGGAACCCTAAATTCTACACCTAAAGAGCTTAGCATCATGCTTCTCACATCGTTTACTTCCGTGTTCCCTCTGCAGGAGATGATGGACATTGTCAAAGCTATCTATGATATGATGGGGAAGTACACATACCCTGTGCTCAAAGAGGACACCCCAAGGCAGCACGTGGATGTTTTCTTCCAGGTAAGTGCACACACGTGCTCACAAGCTTCATGCCCACCTTAGATGAACCAATTACGACAGCTGAGAAAGTGGTTTGTGTCTAACCCAATGCCAATTATTACAGGAAACAGGAAAGAATGACAAGATATTTTGTCGACAAAGAATAGATAATCATGTAAAGCAGATAATTGTACACTATAGCACAAAGGTATCTTATATTATTTGTTATAAATGGGTATAGGACAACTATAAATTCCATTAAAATTCTTGTGGGAGCCAAATAAACTGAAAAGACTTCATTAATCATTTTGTCTAAATGTTGAGTATTTACATCTTGGTAGTAAGGGTGTCAGCCCATTTGGGGGACCCAAGGGAGATTTTTGTGGGTGAGATCCCAAAGTTAAAGAACACACATGTGTGAGACATCAGCAGTAACAGGAGGCAGCATGGAGCAGAGCAGAGCACAAAAACGGAAGAGTGCAAGAGCCCAAGAGCCGCTTGCATCTTTATTGTATAATTCTTATACAGGTTGTTATCTCATATTTACATTCTTACATAGTGCTGTAACCAGCACATGTGTGTTTATCTGTGCTAAGTCATGCACGTTTACCTTTCTGCCTCCCCATGTGATCTTAGCCACATGCACTCCCACTATTCTGATGCCATCCTCCATGACATACTCACCAAAGCCAACTGTATCTCATTGTCCACCTGTACTAGACAAGTGGGGTCATGTCTTCAGATGTCCTTAGATGCTGCTGAGCTTTGAAGCAGTCTGAATGGTTCCCTACAAAGAGGAAATAACATTGGAAACTAAGGTTAGGCCAGATTGTACAATCTTTAAATGGAATAGTTTAGGCTCTCTCTGGTAAAGAACAAGTAGCTATTGTTGATCCGTGAGTAGGGAAGTAACATCCCCATAGCAGCAATTTAGTAAGAAGTTGAACTATCAGTCAGATCTCACTACTGTGTAGTGAAATCTTCTCACTTTGCAAATGGGAAAACAGAGGCCTCTGACTTGTCAAAAGCTCACACAGTAATTAACACAGAGAGAGAATGGGTACCTCCCATATCCAGTCTAGTAGAAAACTCAGGGAAGACATATGCTATATTTTAGAAATGGTTTGATTTCAACCCCCAAAGGATCATATCCTGGAGCCTTGGCCCTCAGTGTGTAGCTCTTTGGTCTACACTGCCACACAGTGGAACCTCTTTGGATGAGGCTAGAAGATAACTGGGTCATTGGGAGTATGGTCTCAGAGGAATTACCGTTGTAGTCCTCATGAGTATGAGTTATTGTACAGAGAGCAAGGCTGGCCCTTCCTGCCTCCCCATGTGATCTTAGCCACATGCACTCCCACTATTTTGATGCCATCTTCCCATGACATACTCACCAAAGCCAAGCAGAAGCTGGCATCAAGCTCATGACCCATCCAAAGCTATACACTATCCTTCCATTATCTTGTTATGAAATTGTATTTCTTCCATAAAATAAAAACACTGAATGCCACAAAAAAAAAGCTATACACTAAACAAACATATTTTCTTTGTAAAGTACTCAGCCTTGGGTATTTTGTTATAGCAACAGAAAACTAACTAATACAACATGTGAAGATGTCAGAATAATATAGCAATGAGATGAACTGCTGCCAGTCTTTGATTTAAGGAAGCTCATCAGGGTCAATAAGTGCTGTGACCAGGGCCCAGCTATAGTTGTCTAGCCAGTGGAAAAAATACCCTAATTTGAAAAACAAAGTTGGTTAATAAAAATCAAGTTTCAGGCACAAATTACAGTGTTTTTGAACAATGCTTCTCCATGTTATGTCTTTCAGAAAATGGACAAAAATAAAGATGGTATTGTGACTTTAGATGAATTTCTTGAATCCTGTCAGGAGGTAAGAAAAAGATCACCAGGAATAATATCCCTAAATCTGGAAAAGAAAATATGGGGATTGAAGGCCTGCAAAAGGAAAGGAAGGAGAAGCCTGCACGTAGCTTGCCTCCAATGAGCAACAGCCACAACAGGAGCAAAAACTCAGGAGTCCACGGGTCTGCACTCAGCCTGGTCTGTGGTTAGTTGTGACTCAAAGCTGGACTGAGCAGACAACCCAAGCACAGCCCTGGGGGATGTAAACACCCAGAGAAGTCTCTGTGAGACCAGAGTTCCTAACTAGGCAGCGCTGTCATTTTTCTACCTGCTCCTGGCTTTATGCTCCACCCCCAGCCCACAAGGAGGCAGCTGGGGAAAACATCCTCAGTTGTGATTCTCAAACTGTAGTATTCATGAAATGATGGTTCTGAAAGTGTATATTTATTTCTAGATCTGGATTTCAGAGACTCTAGATCTAGGATGGGGTCTAGAATCTGTCATGCCACAGATGTCTTTGACTAATGCTGCAAAAACTTTAGGGGGTTTTTTGTGTGTTTCCCTATGCAGCTCAGCCTCGTGGTGATCCTCCTGTTTTCTGCCTCCCTAGTGCTGGGATTACAGGCTGCAAAAACTTTAAGATGCAAACAGGACTTCCTGAATATCTTATTAGAATGCAGATTATTCTTTCTGGGGTTTGGGTGGAGCCTGAAATGCTAACCAGGAGAGGCTGGTACTGCTGGTCCTTCTGTGATACTTGAGTCTCATCCCAGAGTGTCTGCCAGAGGCCAAAAGAATTCCTTCATCTACTTTAGAGAAAGTAATGTATATATCTCAACCTGATTTCAAAAAGATGTATTTACTTTGAGCACCACTCAAGAACTGAAATCCAAGGATACAAAGAAGTTATTAACGTTTATTGAGCACCTACCAAATATTAAGCACATTACATGAACATCACAACCCTACGAAGTAGGTGTCCTATATGCTGACCTATATTTACAATATTTAACAACAAAAATAGACAGGACGTTGACCACTTTTAACTGCCATAGATTTCTGCTAAGGTTAGTAGTAACCTTTCAGTTATGAATATCTGAATGGCCACTAATCCTGGACAGGTTACTAGTTAGAAAGGTAACTAAGAGAGAAGCTCAGGTCAGAAATATTTTAGCATTTCATCATTGCACACTGAAGACCAACACTGAGTGTACCCATTTTCATGGAGAGAAAACTGAAAGACATGTGACTTAGGCTACAGTAAGTGAAAGGGATAGAGCTTCAACTCAGCTAATTTTAAATACCATATCCAGCTAAAGTGTGCTTTCTTGATGTTGCTTCCAGGTGAGAATGGTTTTTACGTCAGCTTAGTTTCTCACATTAGCAACTTTCACAATTATTCATTAAGCCACTTGTTCATTTTGTACAATCTAAACCTACAGGTAGCTGTTATAGTCACCATTTTTTACACATGAAGAAACAGAAATACAGAGAGATGAAGTAACTTGTCCAAGGTAACATACTTAATGTGACGGCGCCAACATTTGTATCCAAATTCCTGACTGGAGAATCCATAAGTCTAAATGTAGTAATACCGCCCTCTTCTAGAAACTTACAGATTTCAGAGCCTCAGATTCAACTGTCTCTATTGATTTTTCTGTACTATGGACCTCCTTTCTATTTTTTAAATTTGTTTCCTAAATTATTTTCTTCTTTCTGTTTTCTTATTTTCAAAATTCTAGCCTTTTCTTCCCTAGCTTTTTGATATGAAAATTGAATTATTGATTTTCAACCAATCTTTTGTAATATATATACCCATCAGGAGCAGATTCCTCCTGAGTGTTATGTTAGCTGAATTCTTTTTTAGATCCCACAAATTTTTTATTTGTCATACTTTTGCTGTATTTTAACTCAAAATATGTTCTTGGGTGCATAGATTTAGAAGTGTGTTCCTTATTATGCAAACATTTGAGGACTTTCTACATTCAATACATATACCTTACATAATACATGGTAGAAAAATGTTAATAGACATACAATAACAAAACCAATAAAACGAAGAACTTTCTTTTCCAAGAAAATTAATAAAATTGATTAGAAAGAGAAAACTCAAGTTGTCAGTATCAGCAATGAAAAGTATAACACACAGGCTTCACATTAAAAGGATAATAGCCATTTCCTAAAAAGTTTGACATGTTATATGAAATTATAAATGCCTCACAAAACAATTTATCACAACTAATACGAGAAGGCAAGAAAATCTAAATACTATAGTCCTATGTGTGTTAAAAGGATTAGCTCTGTAACTGAAAATATTCCTCCAGAAAAAAATAGCAATAGCAGGTTCAGATAGTTTCACTGACACATTCTTCTGAACATTTAAGGAGCAAATATTAATTTTATACACTCAAGAAACAGAACAAAAGGAGAAACTTCTCAGCTTAATTTTTATTTATTGATTTAATGTAGTTGAGAAGGGCCGGCCAAATAGCTCAGTGGATTAAAGCATCTACAAGCAGGCACAGAGGCCAGGGGTTCAATCCCTGGACCTGCCATGCCAGCCCCACCCCTCAGGTGCACTGAGACAGCAATTGAGACTGGGCGTGGTGGTGCACACCTGTAATCCCAGCTCTTGGAAGGCTGTAAACAGGCGGATCACTAAAGTCTGATCTAGTAGTAAGACCCTGAACACCCTGTAGACCCTTCCCTAAAAATACAAAAATAAAAAAAGTATTTGATACAGGGTCTCACTATGCAGCTTGGACTAATAGTGATTCTCCTGTCTAAGCCTCCCCAGCACTGGGATTACAGGTGTGCACCACCACACCCAGTTTTGGTGTCTGGCTCAGCATGCCTGTGGGAGGGCAATGTGGCATGCGGTATCAGGGATCAAACCTCAGTCCCTGTGCTTGCCTAAGTAGGCACTTAGTCCACTGAGCTATCTCACCACCCATCCCAGCTTAATTTATGAAGCTACCATAATCTTAATATGAAAACTTGCAAAGTCAGTTTAACAATCAAAAATTAGTCAATGTAATAATCACATGGCTAGACTAAAAAGAAAGTATGCTCATCTCTGTAGATGCAAAAAGTCAGTTGACACAATGCATAGAGCTTCTATAAAAATCCTGCTCACTGCTGCATAGGATAATTTGTTTTTCTGCATCTCTCTTTAAACCTATAAAAAAGCATTTTGCCTCAAGTTGATCATTCTCTTGGATACTCACCTCTAATTCCTTCTTTCTGCCAAGAAACCACGCATAAGATTTGTGCACCACATTGCCAAACTTCTCAGGCAGCTGCTACAAAGACCCTAACCATCCACTCTTTCTTCCCTCTCTTCCCAGGATGACAACATCATGAGGTCTCTGCAGCTGTTCCAAAATGTCATGTAACTGGGGACACTCATGCACCGAGCTCTCAGAGACATTCTATCTTAATACCTTGATCTGCCCTTGTTCCAGTTTTACACACCAACATTCTCTTGGGACAGAGACATCTTTTACACTTTGGAAGAATTCCTGCTGAAGACTTTCTATGAAACCCAGCATTCAATGGCTCAATCTCTGATCGTCAACTCTTCCTTCTTCCTCCTCTTGAGAGAGACACAATTCAAATTTGTTTTTGGAAGCATGCCCGTCTCTTCACACTGCTGCTCCATGGAAGGTCCCTCTGCTTGAGCTTATACAGTAGTACACAATTTTCTGCTATGTGCCCCCAGCCCACTGCCTCCAAATCAAGCAGATTTTGTTGAATTTGGAAGCCAGAGGACCTGAGCCAAATGCACACTATCCTCTGATGGTCTCCCAAACCAATGTGCCTGTTTCTCTTCTTTTGTGGGAAGAAAGCGTGTTCCACAGAACAATCAAAATCTACCTTGACTAGATTGGGGGAGGCAGCACCCAAATATGTAGAATAAGACTGAATTACTAAGCATGGCATTGTCTGAGGACCTAAACTGCCCATGTCATTCATTTCCAAAGGCTAGGATTAATAACTCTCCCACACTAGCATCTGTGCTAGTAATGTGAGTTGCAAGTCTCTTAATATGCCCAGGAAGAGAGCCATTGCCCAGTAGTCTCTAACTCCTGCCCATCCCCTGCTCAAGTCCATCATTGCATGTCCCTCCCAAAAGTCCAGAATGCTTGCAAATTGCTGTAATTTTATACCATGTTCTAATCAATAAACAGAATTATTTCTTACACTCTCAATCACTTCTTCCATGACTCTGTTTGGCAAGATAGCTAAGCAGTTAATCATTACCTCTTACCTCGAGAAAGTTAATTCATACATTTGGCATTCAGTTATTAGTACTTCCCCTATGCCAGGTACTGTGCCGAGCAGTGACATCTCTCCCCAGTCCCCAAACATCCTAGGCAACATCCAATTCAAATGCAAATATTATGACATAGGTAAATGCAACTTCAAGACAACAAGACCCTTCACAACATCTCCCTTTGATGACAAGACTCATCACTCCTAAGACCTTGTGAGGTGGGAAGCATGGAGCCTGATGTGGGGAGGTTGGGGATGCAGAAATGGAAAGATGGACAGATCCTTCTGCTGAGGGACTTGGAGTTTAGGCTTTGATTAAGTGACTTCATCCTGTAACTAGCAAATGATTACTTACGCTAACTCCAAGCATCCTGGTTTTTCTGTTTTCTATTGTATTAAAATGATTATGAGATAATAGTAACATCTTGCAAGGAAAGCAATTTGCTGGGCTCCTGTTATGTACCAGGTGCTACCCTGGGTGCTTCATATACATTGCCTTATATCATGCTCATGGTAGAGCATTCCAGAAGGTGAAGTCCTAGTGTTGTTGATGAGGACACTGAAGTTTAGAGAGGTAAGGGAACTGCCTAAGGCAGCACAGCTGGTGAAAAATCTTGTCATTCTGTCAGGGAATTCTCCCTGCCCCAAGAACGTGAAGGTGCCTCCACCAATCTCCTTCATCTGGAATCAGCTTGGAGAGGGTTGGGTTTTCTTTAAACCCATCAAACTACAGAATGCAATGACAGAGGGAAGGAGGATTGTCCCAGGTAGCCATGGGTCACTGGAGGGAGCAGGCCTCCACCCCGTCTCAGGCACCATCCAGCTCCTGGCTGTACCCTTTCACAGATGGAAATTGTAGGAGATCTGGTTCCTCTCTTGGAGCTCCCTCACAGGCAGGTCCCTATTGTTGCTGGACATGTTGCCAGTGCCTCGCTGAGGGTGACCCTAATGTATACCTAAGGCTGAGACCTCTACGCTAGGACAGAGCTACCTTTCTCCCTGTGTTGTTCAGACCTCAACATGAACACAACTAAGCCCTGAGCATCCAACACTGAGAAGATCAGCAGCTCTGGATATCCGGCCAAAAATCAGAGAGAAAGGAAATATCAAGAGTTTTCAGATGAGTATTCAGCCTCAAGGTACTGGCTGTCCTGCTGTGGGGAGGGGGGAGAACACGAAGGAAAGGCATCGACTCCAGCTTTAGCTTATCTTCCCACTCAGCAAATGTTCACCATTTGCCAGGGATCACGCCTGCTCATGGGGACTCAGCGACGTAGCACATGCCATGCCCACATGCCCGTGGCATCTCCCACCACCATGCAGGTGGATTCAACTTCTGCCAACTATAAATACCAGAGACTTCATCTGCGACTGGCTTTCACAGAAAGAGCCTGGTTGTGAGGACCCCACCTGACCTGTGAACGTGGGGAGAATCAGGCCATCAGCCTCTGCAGGAAGCAGCCCGTAAGCCATGAGTGCAAGAGCTAGCAGATGCTGCTCCTCTCGGTGGAAAGCGCTCTACAGTCTGTCCTAGTCTTAACTCCTCATCTTCTGCAACTGAACTGACCCCAAGTCACCTACAGCAGGAACTTCTGACACATAAGACAGGATAGATGTACACCAGGATGGAAGGCAGCTAGGCTAACTGGGGGTGGTGAGGCTTCTCAAAAGAACGGAAGTTTTCTGTGGACAGTATCTTACCTAAGACTTGCTATGCTTTGGCTATGGCTTCAGTGTGTGCCACAAACATTCGTGTACTAGAAATGTGGTCCTAGTGCGGTGGTATTAGGAAGTGGCCAGAGCTCGAAGAGTTGCGCTTTAGTGCTAGGCAATAAGATCACTGAAGGCACCATGCTCAGAAGCAATTCATGAGGTCAGTTAGTTCTCAGCGCAAGGTTATTAAAGAGCAGGATGGCCACCCCGCTCTTTCTTGTTCCTGCCTCACCGTATACTCTCTCCCTCTTATGTGTGTCGCCCCATGTCACCCCTGTGGGATTCCTGCCATAGCACTGGAATGTGGGCCATCTACCTGCGGACCTTCCCTGAACCAAAGGGGTCACCCCATCTTGGACTTTCAACCTCTAAAACTATGAGCCAAATAAACTGGTCTTTATAAGTATCCAGCCTTTGGTATTTTGTATCAGTAATAGAAAACTTACTAATATACATCTCATAATAACCTTGTGAGATAGGTATTTTAGGAACCTGTTCTTCAGAAGAAAAAAAAAAAAGTAATACCCAGAGATATGGAAGGACTGTTGACACAGCTAGGAAGAGCTGTAAAACTGCCAAACTCCAAAACTCATGTCCAGCTTTGTTTCCCAGCAAGGTAAAGACCTTTCACCTATTCATACAACTCGCTGTAATGATATACAAACACCAGAAGGTGCTGAAGAGCAGCTAGTAAAGAGCAGTGAAAACAAGCCCACAAATCCAAGTTCAATTACTCTTCCTGCAAAGGGAACGACGCCAAGGACATGTGCAAAGATGGCCAGATGGGTTTCTTAGAGAAGCTGAAATAAATATATTCTTCCACATCAAAACACAGCTCAATTGAGTTGCCAGACTGCAGCAAGCTCGGCACTCCAGGCTAGTAGTTGACTGGGAGCCAAGAAAACTTAAAACCCGAAGAGTTGAGGAAACCCTAAGCGGCCAAGTCCACTGGGGAGAATTTTGAAGACCCGTAATATTGTGAGGAAGCTGACTGGGTTCCCAGTTCTAGGACCAGAGCACACAGCACCCAGCCAAGCCAACCCTACCTCCAGTGCCCCTGGCCGGGGCCCTGGGCTCTGGAGCAGGCTGGATGCCTAAGCTCATTCAAATAGCCGGGCCGTTTCCCCTTTCATAGAGACTAATGCAACGAAGCTACTCATTTCCTAGCGGGCATGGACGGCAAAGTACTCAGCCTTGCACCGACGGACAAACACCTTATAATCTGAAGGAAAGCCAGCCTGCAGCTGAGCATAACGTACCACAGAAATCAAGCAGAGAGATGGAAAGAAAGGGACATGGTGATATCATTCTCCCACTCATGCGTCATCTGAAGCTACTTGTTCTCTAGTCTTTCTATTTACATGAACCAAATAGCAGTAAATTCATTTTTCATTGTTTAAAGTAGATTGAGTTGAACTTTCTGCAACTTCAACTTGGATATCTTACCCTATCCCTCCCTACGGCAGCTACGGCAACAAAAATTACAGTTACACAGCCGCGCGGTAGCATGCCTCGGACAAGAAACCCAGCGTGGCCTCGTACCCACCACACTACTCTGTGACCTACTTTGAAGAGACCATAATATAATGCCATATATTATTTATTAAGCACTTACTGCGTGCTAAATAATTCACGTATATTTACCTCATTCAGCCCTCTGTGCTCTGGACTCAGCTCCATTATGATTCCCACTCACTAATGAGGAAAGCGGAGCTCAAAAAGGTTAGACAGTGTGGTTGTGATCCAACAGCTATGTAGTCAAGGGCAGAGCAACAATTTGAATCCAGGACCTTCTGACTTTTTCCCTTAATCATTGTCTCAGGAAATACCATGTTTAATGTGTATCCAGACTCAGCCAGGCTGAAATAATGAGCTTCACACCACAGTAGACACGCTCAGCATGAAGAAGGCAACCACGAGCTGGTGAGATAGTGCAGCAGACTCAAGCACTGCTTAGGCAGGCACAGGGACCACAGTTCGATCCCTGGCACCACATGCCATGCTAGCCCCGCCCCCAGGGAGGGCTGAGCAGACCAGGCTCTCGGCGTGGTGGTGCACGCTTATAATCCCAGCGCTGAGGAGGCTGAAAACAGGGATCACCATGATGAGTCCAAGCTGTGTAGTGAGACCCTGCAACAACAAATACATTAAAAAATTAACAAAAGAAGGCAACCATATCACAACACTAGGAGTCCTGCAGTATTGTTGCCTAGTGTTATTGGATACACTCTGAAGAAAAATTAAACATCTGGACTTATATATAAAATCTCCCAATTTTGTATTCAAGCAACTGTTCAATATTGAAAAGATACCACACAGGCTAAACTAAACAAGTGTAAGAGATGGATTTGGTCCAGGGGCCACTCACGCACAAACGCTTGTCTAAATTCTGTTATTTTTCCCCACTAATGAATGATCACCATGTAGTAAGCTAATATATAGAATGTTATGGTGTATCATGAATATCAGTAACTGAGAAATAGTAACCCTGCAGCTATTATATAATATATTAAGAATACCTAGCATGCCTGGCCTAGTCAGCCAGGACCTGAAGATACAAAAATCTGCAACTTGACATTAAGATGGGAACTTTCTTTTTCTTTTTCTTTTTTCCTTTTTTTTCATGGTACAGGGGATTGAACTCAGGACACTGATCTTGCCAGGCAGGCACTTATTCTTTTTTTTTTTTTTTTTTGCCCTCAGGCACTTATTCTATTGAGCTATTTCCCT